GTTCAGTCCTGCAGATAAGTTCAAGCTTAGCCATTGTATCTTATTTATGTAAACACCCTAGAATAAATGGTCATTTCTGGACACCAGTTAATAATTCACAAGGAATTATCTAATATCCAATTCAGAATGAGGGAGAATTGTTCTTGCATTTAACTAATTCATCTGACTTCTGAGTGCTTTCTTCTGATTTATTTATTTAAAGATTTATAAGAATGCCCAGCTCAGACACTCTGACTTGGGAGGCATACAACATAAACCTACGATAAATCTAAAAGGAAAAAATGAGGAAGGAAACTAATAATAGGCAATATAATAAAATGGTGCCCAAGCACATAACAAAACTGTCATGGGGGGGACACATCAACTCAACAATCCCTACTGTCTGTGGGAAATACCCGGTCTTAAGGGCTTTCTTAAAGGCAAGGAAAGTTGCACTGTTTTATATCAGAGAGGGGGACAGATTGTTCCAGAAAGCAGGGGCAACTACAGAAAAGACACACTTCCTAGACCCCATAAAATGCCATGCAAAAGAACCTGGAACATCCTTCTGGATGCATGTGCTCTATATAACATTATCTATCTATCCATTTATCCATTCATCTGATGATCTATATAACATCATTATTAGTCTGTTTCATGCTAAAAGAACAAGCGTTGAATTATGGGCAGAGATATATTAAATAATGAATTAAATAACAGGAAAATTTAAATGTTGCACTTATTTCCTACCCACACCACCCCAGATATTTGCAAGCTTTGTCGTGCATCTCAGACTCTAGATTGTAGTCTTTCTGGCATCATAAGTTCGCCTGTCACTTAATACAGAACATACAGTAACAGCACTAAAAGGAAACTCGGATTTCTTCATCTGAAAAAAAATATGCATTGCTATTTGCTAGAGTTTTGTTTTCATAAAGAGGACAAAAACCAGAAAAATGAAAAAATGGTTTTCCATTAAAGAAAGAGACAATACATCGCCTTGTATTAATTTCCTTGTATTCTGGAAATTTCATACTTCAACTAGAGCCATACCAATGTAATAAAATGCACTATATTTTAAAATTGTCATCATCATCATCATCATCATCATCATCATCATCACCATCAAAGTTTGGAAAAAGAACTTATTTAGCCCCAAGACTATTATACACAATGCTACAATTCTACATTAATTGAGTTGCCCTTGAAATAAAATGTTTCTCTCCTGAGAACTATGCAAAATAATTTTGAATACATTTGAATGTCTGCATATGAAAGCAAAAGATATAAAATATATAGTGAGAACAATAACCCACTGAGTTTAGGAGAGGTAGTGCCACATTACAAATGTCTAGGACAATCTGTGGAGTTGTAACCCAAACTAAACCTTGCTAGGCTAATAGGATAGGAGGAGAGCATTTCTCCATTTTTTTCCCCTTTTCTACTTATATTTCATTAGATTTCTTCCCTCTTTGAATAGTTGCAAGCATGTTGTAATTTTGCAGGAAACTGAAACTTTGATTCAACAGTTCCAAAACAATGTGTTCTCTCCCTGCTCGTCCTATTTTTTTCTATTGATGTGGTTGGAGCATCAAAAATGAACTTTCATTATTACCATTCTAACAATTGGGATGCTTATGAGATAGGCTCTCCTCTTTCATCTTCAGAGGTTATCTATGAGTGGGGGGGGGGAATCTGCCCTATGCAACTTACTATATAATTCCCAATTTGTTGTTTAAAATAGAATAAAATTGTATCCTAAATTCTTAAACAGGAAGATTCAGCAAAGACAAAATAGATAAAATACATGTATTAAAACACACACACACACACACATACAGAGAGAGAGAGAGAGAGAGAGAGAGAGAGAGAATTATGGATTTTCTCCTTGTTGGTTCTTGATTATTGCTTTCTTTTTGTTTGCTTGACAGTCAATCTCTTTGGTAGTTCCTTGCTTTCTGCTTGACTGTTTGTCTGATATTAATTCTGAGTTGTTTGTGTTGGCTGTTGGAGATGTGTTCTGGTCCTTCTGTTTTTTTTAATGAGCAAACCCTACACTCACAAGCACTGTTGATGTTACCTAGTTAACTGATGAAATACCTGCAAGCAAACAATCAAGTTGAGGGAGTTCCAAGGACTGTAGTCACCTTTCATTTGAAGTTCTTCAAATGCACTGGATTGCAATCTCCAAAAATTTATCTCAGGATCAACAATAAGCAACTGAATTATGGAAGTTGTAACTGAACACATCTGGAAGATAAAAGAGACTTTGGACCCTTACTTAATGAATACTAAACTACTAAAGGAAACCCAGAATTTATCACACAAAACTTGCTAATTTGTTCTTCCTAGTCTCTTCCTCCTCCTCCTCCCCTCCTCCTTCCAGCAAGTACAACATGATAGAATTATGCCCAGCATGATCATAGCCATTAGGGAATGAATCAAGAATTCCTGAACCATTATTATTCTAAGGCAAGAATCACCTCTGGTGGAAAGGAGTAGTAATCACTCAGTCCATGGATTTGCTATCACAAACTATATACCTTTAAACCTTTTTCTTCTGCTGTCACAAACATGGGAACTTGTTTTATTTATATACGAGTGACTCTTAATGATTTTGGAGTGTGTAGGTATACATTTTAAATATGGTTCATACTTTGGGGCTTTTTTGTGGAGGTCTATAAGCTAAACAGGAAATTTATTATTTGCATTAAATTTATTCTGAATTTGGCTTATCTTTATTAAAAATATTTGCATTCTCTGGGGACTGTCTTGGATATTCCTATTATGGCAAAATGTAGTATTATATTTCTGAAATGCCCTGGTAGAATATCTGACCTCGTACTGTATTGCTTCCTGAAAAGTTGCATATAGTTTCTTTTTAGACAACTATCACAATATCCTGGCTGGCTGGCTAATGATGAGATGCTTGATCGATTATGACAGTTGCCTGGGAAAAGATAGCCATTTATAATATCACAAAAAATTCTGATTGTTATGCCTGCCATGTAGTACCCCAGTCGTGAGATGAATATTTTTGAAGGGCAGACTTGATTATTCTCTCAAGAATGCTGATGAGCTCTTTTCATTTTTTTCCTTCAATTTAATTGGCTTTATTGGTCTGGCATGAATGATTCTGATTCATTAATGGCTCAGTTCTACTAGCAATTTAACATGATCAAATGTTAGAGTCAGGCACGATCTTCCCAAAGAAAGCTCCCCTCAAAACACACTAGAATTAGTACTTCTATCAAGAACAACCTTTGTGTGATGTAGCTTTACCAGGACTCATTACTTCAAAATGTTTTATGATTTTTGGCTTTGCATTAGAATAAAATACAGCCCAAAAGATAGTACAATAGAGCGAGGTAGTCGGTTCATTTTGTACATGATACTAAAATGAGAAACTATGCCCACACTAGCAGATGGGTGACTAAAATTGGATACTATGCTGAAACAACAAAACTGACAATATATATCCATTATAGACGTTTAACAATTCAAGAAGAAATGGCTCCCTTGTATACAATATGTCACAGAGCAAGGCAGGTTTAGACATCTGAAATTTGATTTTTAAGACTCATAAGAAAACTAACAATTACTGATGTTTGATGCAATGTTCAAGTATCTAAACTGTGACTCAGTGCTGAAAATGTAAACAGAAGGAAAGGAGGGACATATTACTAAAAAGTGTTTTTCTTTTTTTCTGTTTTTTTAATTCAAATGTAAAAGTCTCCTTTTTTGTATCATATTCCTACTTTCTTTGTATTTTAATATTTTAACAATAAACATAAAATTAAAAATGATAAGGGATAGTATGAAGCAAAATTAAAAAAAGAAATTCTATTTTGCATTGCAAAAGAAAAACCTATTTTTATTATCAGATTTAATTATCCTGGCATGTAATTATACCTAGCAACTCATTCTTTGACCCCTTTCAATGGGTATCTATTTAGTAAAACTGTTTTATTTTTGTCTTTGCTTGTGTTGTAAAATTATTTCAGATATATTGTCATAATGACATTCTAAGAGGCATTTAGCAAATCCCTTCAAATATTATTGTACTCATTTTTATCAATTATATTCCAAAAGATCAAAAACAAAAAAGACAGTAGTCCAGAGACAAGTTTCTCATTTCACATCTACATGAAAAAACACAACACAACAACAACAAAAAACTTTTTTCTGGGCATCTCATAGAGCAAGAGTTAACACTGAAACCAATCATCATGTTCTTTAGCTGAGGTCCAGCTGTTAAGTTAGAATGTGTTGGTAGAGTCTTCATTTTTCCTTCTTTCAAAATTGTAAATGAAAGATAAGTGCTAAATCTGGGGGATGGGATATTTTCATTACATTCCAAACTGAATAATGGTCTCTTATACCAGCTATATCATCAATGATATCCAGGATCTTCTTGCTCGATTAAAAAATAAATTATATCCACTGGATTACCTCATCCTAATCAATAGAAAACATATTTCTTTTACCACTTTGACACTGAATTAAATCATAGAGTGCATAATTACACTTGTCTGTTTTCTGAAACACTGAATCTAAGTCTGCCCAGAATCTTGTGAACAAGTACATTCCTAATATTCAGGGTTTTACCCCCTGAAGTGTAATAAGGGACAAATCTTCAGTCTCTTTCAGGAAACAGTGAGGAACATGTAAGAGCACTAGAGAGTACCTTGAGATTCTGGAATATTCAGAGAAATATTGCTATATACAATTGCTAGTGTATAACAGCGTTCATAAATCATGTTTTGTTTGAACCATGATTTGTCATATGCCTTAATTCACCTATGATTCTAAATTACAGAATATAGATTATGAGGGTTCAGACATCATTATAAAGTAAAATAAAAGAAACTAAATTATGGTTTAATATAGTACAGTCAATTCAGCCATTTTCAATAAAAATAAACATGTTATTACTTTCTTATTATGATATTTAATATATAGTATATTCAATAAAAATTAATTAAGTGCTGATAATAATGGATGACAGTGAATTCAGTGTATTTGTTATCAATCATTTATTATTGAAAACAAAGTGGATTTTCTTATCTGGCACATAAACAATTATTTCTACAAAAAGGAAACCCTACAAATCTTGATAATTTATACAAATATGCTTTCTCAAAAAATAAAAATTTAATTTAGTAAATTTGTGCTCTTATTTTTAAGCACTGTCTGCAATATCCACCACAAATCCCTGAGCAGAGACAATAATTTTAAACTTATTTGAAAACTGAGAGATATAAAGCCTAACCCTATACTGAAAATGAATGGAAAAACAAAATTTTAACAATTTGTTATTCTCTGGTTTGAGACAAGCAAAACTTCTGTACAACTTCATGGAAATCTATTGTATAAGAAATGTAATTATGAATAAAGAACACAAAAAAGGAGATAGTATAATAAAAAGTGAAATGTTACAACTAGGAAGTTGACCTTGCATCCGATGCTGAAGTTTAACATTTCAGAATGTCGTATTAATACAGTTAAATTGCTATCCTATACACAATTCCATGGAGTTCGACCCACTGAATTTAATTGGATTTACTCTTGAGTATACATGCATAGGGTGATGCTAAAAATTCAATCTTCATCATTAATATAGCATTTGGTTTTACAGTTTTGAGAAAATGATGCAACAGTACATTGTTCATTAAATAGACAGTAGCTAACATTGCATTTTATCCATATCTGAATGCATAACAGTAAGAACACTGAATTTCATTGGTTAACATTTTAGTTTTTTCTATCCCATAAAACAGTTTCTGGAACTCCACTTGAAAGGAAAAAATTGAAAGGTCACTCATCTGCACAAAGCTCTAACATAAAATTGGCTAATGTAAGAAAACAGAAATTAAAAGATAGTGCCTAATAATAAAATTTTTCTAATAATGGTACTCCTAATGGAAAACTAAGCAAGCTCAGAGTATCACCAAGGATGACATAAATTGTAGTTATGCTGAGAAAACAGCCCATTGTTCCTTAATAAGTCTACATAGAAAGCTGGGGTGACTAAAATGCACAGAATAAATGTGTTCCTGTTTCCTTCTAAATACCAATACATTCTTTAAACATTTAAAAGCACACCATGAAAAGCAACCAGAAGACTGGCAACCATTGTGAAATCCTAGCTAATGACTATTTGCTGCAGTTGGCAAATAAAAACCTTCAACAATGCATCACTTCCAAAGTAATAACAATAGAATGATATTCAATACAAACATTTTTTTTTAATATAGGGAGGATTCTTAGAGACACCTAATCTTCAATCTATGGATACTGCCTGATATAGTGCCAGGATGCAAAGGATCACAGAACTAGCTCTCTATTTCTGAAACAATCATCCATGCTTCCGATTTTAATTTGAAGTGGTTTTAAGTATGAATTTAGAATTGGATATATATTTCATAGATGAAAAATTAAGTCAGCCTTGGATATGTCTACAGTAGCTCTTAGGTGCCAGTCTAACTGATTTAAAGATGACTGTTGGGGATATATGCCATTTTGAAATTACAGTATAATTTGTTTAGTTAATAAAAGAATTTGGTAAATGGTCTAGTTTTTAAATAATGCTCTTATGCAAATCATAAAAATTAGGCTAAATAAGCTGAAATATTAAACCTAAGAAAAGAATGCAGAATTGGGTTAGAATCTACACACATTTTTCTTTTCATCTATAAATAAAGTTAAATAAATGCAAACATAATAAATGCAAAAAACTGTTTTCAGTCACATAATTCCTTTTGGTCTAACATTTTGTGGATTCACTATTTTTTTTTAAATATTAAACTCTTTTAGTTTCTTGCAAATAGCACAATAGTTTATTTTTCACAAACGGTAAATCCTGCTGCTAACATTCAAAAAATGAATTCACCAAAGGCATGCCTACAAATTTGTTGTTAATCCAATGACAACTTACTTGGAAAATATATTTACATAAACTGGCAACCTGGGTATCAGTTTAATGGAGATAGTAGTTTGCTTTATGTGTGCTTGATGCATCATGTAATCAATCTATGGATGCAATCTACAGCATGTACAGATGCAACCATGCTACAAGTGTTTGCATATTTTCAAAAACAATATTAGTAACATGTTCATCTACACTGTTCTATCCTTTGCTTTCAATGTACTAAAAGGCAGAAAATGCATGTTTCTTCTTCATATGTCTACTCAGTTCATATTTAAAATGTTTGTATACAAATGGATTTCTTTTTAATAAAATATGTATTGTTGAAAAGAACAAACCTAAATCCATACTTTATATTTCATTACTATGGACATGGCTCTCCAGCTTAACTCTGATTTGATCTTGAAAGTAAGGCAAGCTGGCTAAAGGAACAAAGCATAACAAAGTTGAAGTTGTGAGCAAGGTTCAGTTCTCCTACCCAGTGGATAGGTTCTGTTTTAAAACACAGATTACTCCCATTTTCTACAAGGGCAAAGGAAAGATAGAAGCATTTACTGTATAGTATGGGTTCAGCAACCTGCTGTACTTTTAAAAGTAATTGATTATTCAGGCTCTGGAGCATAATAGATTACAAGAAGATGACAAAGAGCTTGCCTTAATTCTTCATTACTATTGTACTATTATATATGGTTAATTCTACATTCCAAGTCTCCTTCATTGTTGCTTGCTTCTTACACATTCAGAGGATAATTCACAGCCAGCCAGCCAGCCAACCAAACAGGTTGACAATATGCATTTGCCAGTGAAGATTAGACATGAAACCACATCTTTCAATTTTTTTTTCAAATAGTTGAACTAGTACAGTATGTGAAGTAGCTCAGAAGCAGGTCTGTGGATTTATACAATATCAAGACAAATAGCAAACACACTTAGTTTTAGTATACATTTCATGAATTATAGCCTAAGATAATAATTTAAGCCAGTCTTTATCCTCTCCTAAATTCTTAGTTTGACTGGAAGGATGCTCTATAGGCCAACATGACTTTTCTATCAGAAACCACATAAAAATGACCAAAGTGAGAATGACTAATATGCCCTAGTGAATATGCTAAAGTGGGTCCCTTTCAGGTGCTCCAGTTTCAGGTTTTCTTTTTTAATTTTCTGGGTTTGGGCAATAATTATTAAGTCCTTCATGAAACTTATCAAAAAGATTTTGCTCTTTTCTCATTTTCAATTAGAAACCTCAAAATGCAGCCCTGTAGGTTTTCCTAGCAGCAATTACCTTTGACAATTACAGCTTAGTTAGCAAGAGCACTCAACAAACAGTCCTCCAAAAGTTAGTCTGGATTTTAATTGTTTTCTAAACTCTTTGCAAACAGCAACAACAACATTTTTAAAAAACCCTGCATTATGTTTTGGTTGTTCTTAAGCCTTGTTTTTCCATAATATTCCAGAGTTTGCGAAGATTTGATTGTGTGATGACATCGTCCGGTTTAAACCGAAGGGCATGAAGATAGTTTGATTCAGCCTCCAAAAGTTTCCCATTAAGATGAAGAATAGCTCCCAAATTCATTAAGGCAGCTGGGTACTGGACAAAAAGAAAAAGAATGGAGAAAACATGAGTTTATCTTTCTTAGCTTTAATCTAAGTAGCAAAATTATTCCCGTATGTTTTTGTAGGCTACTTTTATGGAAACAATTAAGAAACTGGAAGAAGCATGAGTGGTAAGTAAGGAATGGGTTGATCAGATGTACTTTGCAGTGAAGTGTTCAAGATAGAGAACATTAACTCCTTTAATGTGCAAACTACAGGTAATAGGACTTCTTATCACCAAAAGCTGTTCTCCCCACACACAAAGTCTTTTTTATTTTCTTCTTACTCGATAAGGAAAATTGGAAGACAAATTAATTTCATTAGGTGCTCATTTAAAACTTCCTAGCAAGCTTTGGACTTCTGGTTTTGTGCCAATGATGCATGGCCATGAGAGAGCGGACCTCCGCTCCCCGCGGCTAGTTTCATCCTGTCAGGGGGACCCTAGGGTCCTAAGTCACCCAAAGAGGTGACTGTGAAGGAGGGGCGCTCCGTTGATCATGAAGCGACAGCAGTCACTTCGTTTGATCCAGGGGAAGCCCTCCGAACCCAACAGGAGAAAGGCTAGCATGAGATCAGCATCTAGCCCAAGCTACTTGCAGCCGAACTCCCAGAGCACGAACCTGAACATCGGTGAACAGCATGCTTGGAATTGGTGAGAGTACTGCTCTTCTTTCTTCTTTCTACTAATTGAATCCTTGAGAAAAATCCCCAAAGCAAAAAACCTCCAGAAGTGAAAGCAGAGGACTATATCCCCATTCCCTTACAGGTGGAAGTGGCGACTTAATATTAAGGAGGAAAGAGGTATATTAAAATTTGATTTAAAATACTACAGTCTGGATAAATCTAGGAACTAAGAAACTGTCAACTAAAGAGTTTTTGATGGAATTATAAAAATATATAACAAAAATAACTTTTTGATTGAAAAAAAACTGAAAAAAGAAATAACTGCTGACATCTAGTGGAGAATCAGAGTATAGAATACTAATAATAAGGAGTCAGAAATTGGCACAATGCCTAGAAATAAAGAAAAAGCTGTTCCTTTGAACTTCAAATAACATTGAAGACAGCTGGGAACAAAGGAAGAGCCAGCTATAAGATTAAAAAGTGTCTGAAAGAAAAAAAACAAACACCTGGACTGTTGCTTAAATCCAAGAACTGTTTATGGAAAAGAAAAACCTTGCTTTTGGCTAATCTTTTAGAGGAGAATCTACAGGAAGGATTTAAAGTGGCTTAACACACTGAACTGTAATTTTGACTGACTGATACATTAATTTTTGAATTAAAACACTGATGAAAGATTATTTGAAGGGGGGAGACAACATGGATATCACATACATATCAAAAAATGACAGGATGACACATTCAATATTTTCTCCTAAAGGACTTTGCCTGGAAAATCAAGAGCCTCCAGAAGTAATACTTCAAGGCAAGATAAATACTTTCCAGGAGGAAATATATGTAATGTTAGGACAAATACAAATGACAATAGACTCAAACCATGAGGAAATTCAAAACAATTTTGATGATTTAAATAAGCATATTTCCAATCCAAATCTACAATTAAAAAACACCCAGGAAATAACAACTAATGAACAAATAAATCAGACAATACACTACAAATTAGAAGAATATGATCAAATTGATGAAATAATAAATGAAAAGAATTACAATTTAACACAAACAGGAAAAAATCTACAAGGTTCTGATACAAGAAGAAAAATGGAATGGACTATAGAATTACCAGCAGAACCATCAACGTTTGGGAGACAGAAAGTATTCATCTTACTTACTTCATCTTTTGTATTCCCAACAACATTTGTAAAAACACAGGAACTGCCAGGTAAGCAGATTATATCAACTTGGAAAACTACTCGGCAAAAGAAGAAGACCAGAGACAGATACAAGAGATTTGACTTGCCCTACCAGATGGACTATTATGTGAACAAACATGTGTTTGAATATGGCTAAAAGAATAGAGAACTTTGAATATAAAGGGGCCTTAAAACAAGAGGGATAAGAGATTTAAGTAATATAGTATGTTCCATAATATATGAAATGTATAGCAAGTTAATGTAACTTTTATTAATATAAGTGAAATATAAAATGATTAAAAAGGATATTATATCTAGATACTATGATATAGATAAAAAAGTATAGTATTTTTATAATGCATGACATAAAATATTGGGATGATGTACTTAAATGGGAAAATTTGGACAGTTAGATAACTAATATATGAAGAAATTATGACTGATAAGAATTGGATTGAATATAAGGAAAATTAAGCGTAAACAAAAATTATGAAAATAGGATGCATGCTAAACTAATGAGATGATGGTTATAAGAATAATATAAGCTAAAAAAAGTCATACATAGAGATTATTACTATCTGTATAAATATAAAAAATGCATGTATCTAATCATTTATATATTGAAAATATTAAGAATTATATTTTGGCTAAGATTGAAGAAGGAGGATATAAATGGAGAAGGAAAGATCAAAGAAATATACCATTAATTAATATACTAATTATGGAATTATCAAACTTAATCATTATTAATTATTATTGTCCTTTTTTTCTTGTTAAAATAGGCACTGGAGATTGTTATAGTTAAAAACCAATAAAATATTCATATATATATATATATATATATATATATATATATATATATATATATATATATATATATATATATATATATATATATATTAGAAATAAAAACAAAAATGCGACTCTTGGGAATATTCATATTGTCCAAATAATAATGATCACCAAGAGAATATCTATAAAAATAGAAATTTAATCCACCGAGCTTTCGTCAAATACACTTGACATCGTCAGGGTTAAAAGGCAAACTACGGGGGGAGTCTTATATACAGTTGTTTAATGCCTGTTTCCGGCTCCTGGAGCGCGTCATAGGCCCCAGCTGATCGGGCTGAGTCCTGAGCATACGCCCCACGTCAGCATCTATCTCCGTTCCATGGTTGGTTTGAGTTCGATTATATGTTACTTCGAAGAAGGAGGGGAGGAGGAATAGTGTGGGTGGGGACTATGAGCTCGTGTTACAATCCCGGGAGATAGGAAAACAGGATCAAAGCAGCCTTGGGGCATGCAGTGATATTGAAGGCAGTGTAGATAATTGCCTACCCCCGCTCACAAAGGGAAGTGATGTCTGGGATGGTGGAGGGGTTACGAATAGGGAAGGAAAAAGGACTTGGGCTCCCAACCCGGTAACAACTAACGAAGCAACATATAATCGAACTCAAACTAACCATGGAACGGAGATAGATGCTGACGTGGGGCGTATGCTTAGGACTCAGCCCGATCAGCTGGGGCCTATGACGCGCTCCAGGAGCCGGAAACAGGCATTAAACAACTGTATATAAGACTCCCCCCGTAGTTTGCCTTTTAACCCTGACGATGTCAAGTGTATTTGACGAAAGCTCGGTGGATTAAATTTCTATTTTTATAGATATTCTCTTGGTGATCATTATTATTTGGACAATATATATATATATATATATATGAAAAAACTTCCTAGCAAGCCCAATCATGAGAAGGAATTAAAATTCAGTTTGATGAAATAAACAACTGTGTAACTTCTTTTATTCGGATGCCATGTACAATATCTTGATTATCATCACTGCTGGCTCCAAATATTAACGTTATTAAGAAAGTATTATTATGTTCAATTCAAAAAACAGGTTAAATATACATTTAAATGTAAATAATATGTTGCCTGATTGCATCACTGCAGCTACTTTGCAATGTGGCAAATGATTATGTTGAAGTTTGAATGCTTTCAAAACGGCTGTATGTTTTATGCCCAGCAGTCTGTAATAGGTTTGAGGGTTTATAAAAATAATTCTTCAGTTTCAATTACGGTAATGCTCCTGCTGCATCATTAAACCTTTTAGAAATACTTAGTAGAGGATCCTAGGAAGTTTTCAGTATCTTCCTGTCATACTGGAAATAAGTGTTCTGCTACACATAATTCCAGTATCTGGTAACTTTATATTGCTTCAGCCTCCTAAGTGAATCATACTAGAACATGGGTGTCAAACTCAATTGTGTCACATGACATATCGTGACGTATCGTGACATATTTTGCCTTTGTGGAGCCAGGGTGGGTGTGGCCTGCATGTAATGCATCCGGCCCACGGGCTGCCAGTTTGACATCCCTGTACTAGAGCATGCTATGTGATGGAGATGCTCTGTTCAAAGAAGGATTTAACCTGAGACATATTCAAAGAAAGTGAATATGAGCTAAAGTAATGTTCTAGGAAAATAATAGAAATTAGTCAGGAAGTTATACAATACAAGGAGAGAAACTGTCAGTAACAAATTCATTTATTGGGATATAATATTTCAATACTTCCTAACAAAAAGGTATGGAGTTGTTAAATATGGGAATGATAACCACTACATCATTTAGCTTAGGTCATTATTACTGTAAATTAAAAATAACTAGTATTTCCTGACAATTTTAAAGTATTTTTCTCATTGTTCTTGTGGGCTTCACCCACAATGACACCATAGATCTGCTTAGTACCACCACTGGTTCTTAAATATATTAAGTGGGCACCAAGAGGCTGCCTGCTTCTGCTGCCTATCTTCTTTCAAATTTTATTTTTTATGTTTTATAGAGTGTTCTAAGACTTACACTTGTTTCATTTTATAAAATCAATCCAAGGCCTCCTGAAGTGATTATTCTGCAGTGCACAAAATGCTTTTTGCTGTTTTGAACTACAGCAATTCTGAACATTCAGCATCACTACGGAAAACCTTTACTGAACCAGAAGAACCCTTAGACCTACTAAAGAGTGCTGGGCATGTGGTATCAGATGAAAGGAAATATTATGATATCCTTCACAAAATACAGTTTTGAAATCACTGATGCTTGCTGCCTACCTTTTTGCTCAATGCTTCCATCACTAATACAATTGGTCCAGATCTGCTTTTATTACAAACATAGGAGTGTTAGAAAAAGAGA